GGGTAGTTGTGATGCATATCGGGAACAATTACTTATAAATATTGTTTCAATTGTTTTGCATTTGAATGATGAAGAGGATCAAGTTAAGCAGGTAGCAATTTCAGTTTTTGTTCTGAAAAATTTTAAGTCCGTAAAATTTATTAGAAGCTGTGCAAAATTGTTAGTAATATAAGCTTGAATATTTTTTTTGTATTTGCCAGTTAATATTTATTAACATTGTCAGCATATTTGTTTGAATGATTTTCAAACAAATAAGTGCAAATATTCTGACATCATCGTGAAAATATTTAAATTAAAAAATTTTTTCCTTTCTCAAGAAAATTTTCTTTTTAGATGTGTGCACGTTGCCTTGTATCGGTGAGTTCGTTGTTAAATTCCAGTCGTTTGACAATGTTGGTTGAACGCGACTTGAAAATCGATGAGCAATGCTATAATTATGGTCAATTTTTGAAAGAATTTAGTGTATTATTAGTAAGTTATTATTTCTTATCATTTATAATGCCTTTCTTTAAATAAATATCTCATTCACACAAAAAAATGAGAAAGATATTAGAAGTCAACTTCCTCATTATTATTTAATTATAATTGAAATGTAATAGCTTGTTAAATAATAATTATATTAAGTTTATTGAATGAAAAATTTGTATTAGGAATATGGAGTATTTGTTTGCTGATTAGATTAGAATCTTTTGTGCCATTAAATATTTCATAGTTAGCAAATCTTATTAAGCAATTATTTTTAGGCTTTTTCATTTCCTGATCGTATCAACTATTATGCTTTGAATTGTAATAATTATTTCAAAAGCACATCATCTCGTATTCGTTCCAATGCAGCACATATGACGGGTTATTTGTTGGGTGAATTAACACCAGAATTACGGAGTACTGTTTCAAAAGAATTAATATTTGCAGGTGATTTTTTATTTTTATACATTTTAGGCAATAGGATGGACTGTTTCTGCTTATGAATTTGATTTTTATAAGATTTTGTGAAATTTCATAGAACCAGTGAAAATGCTGTTTTACATTTTCAGTCAGTAGGTAAGTTTAGATAAGTAGTAATTTTTTCTTTTGTTCCATACTACTTATTACAGTTGATGGATTATTAGATTAGTTATTTAAAACTTTTAATATTTGTTGATCTTAAGCAAGTACTCGAATTTCTTCTTTGCTAAATTGAAAAATAGATGAAACAAACTTTAATTTTGCAACATATTGAATAATTTACAACTTGTTAGTATTTCGAGAAAAATTAATTTTATAACAGTATTAATGCACTAGATGGAATAATTACAGTAATGCAGAATAAATTATTCGATGATTATTCAAACTTTAAATTTTTTGTAATGAAGAAATTTTATTCTAATTTTCTTCCATACTTGTCTCTAATCAATTCTCAATCTGACAAAATTCTTTTTGCATTAGACAATTGATTTTTCAGGATTAATGTTGCTACTAAAAGATCATGATATTGCTGTGCGCTTATCAACTGCTCGAGCCATATCTTGTTTACATCGTTATACATAATCATAATGTTAAAGCAAGAGCTATCAATTATATATATAATATACTCTATACATTCCCACCGCTTGAGTTATTTGTCATTTGTTAAGTCATATATTTGGATTTCTTCGTTTAAATTGAATTTTTTTTTAAATTGAATTTAAAAAGGTTTAGTTAAAACACTGTCAATTTCCCAAGAATTTCTTCGTTCACTTAGTTATTTTGCCAAGAGTGCAGTTCTGCTTTCATTTGTTGTGAACTGAACTAAATGACCGAACAGTTTGATGATGTATTCCTTTCGTAATTTTTATCAGTTTTGGAATTTTGTATGGATTCCGCAATATACTTGGTTTTTACTATCTCTGTTATATTCGAAAGTTAAAAATCTAACAAATTGCGAACTTCTTGCAGTAATTTTTTTAGAACAACTCATTTACTACTATTCTTTCAAAAGCTCTAATTCATTTTTACGTCTACGCCTTTGCTTTTTCAATGCCACTATTATTTTTTTTTTTAAAAAAAAAAAGGAAAAAAAAGCTAGTGGTTAATTTTTAATTGGTATATTTTCACTGTAAATATTCTTGGATAAAGCATTTAACTGATTTTTATTAACAACTCTTGAATTGTTAGCTGTTACGGAAGCTAACAAAAAGCAATAGTGTAATGATGAATAAAACTATTTGAAATTAGCTTAAAATTTGTTAAAGTTACAAAATGTTAATGAAAATAATATATCCATATTTATAGCCCTTTTCCAGTATTAATTGAACAAAAATTGTTATTTTTGACATCAGTGCTAATTCATAATTTGTACTTAAGCACTCTATAAAAAAAAGAAAAAGAAAAAATCAGGAATTAGCTAAAGGTGTAATTAAGAAGAAACGAATTTCACTTTGCATTAAAGTATATAATCATTTTTGTTAACTGTCTCTATAATTACAAATACCATTAAATATCAATTATAAATGATAAAACGGTGAATAAATCATAAATTACAAACTTTATTAACCTAAATCAAACGAAAAATTGTTGAAATTAAGCATATTTCTAGCTAAAAAATGAATTTAACTATTAATTTTGTCTTTGAAATGCTTTGAATTTCTTTGATTTTGCCTTTGAAATTATCTTGGTTTATGTCATTTTCGAATAGTTTGCATAATGAATTTAATAATTTTAAGGTTCTTGAATAGTAGCAAAATCAAAATTTCATTGAATTATGGAAGAGCTATAGATTTTTTGAGCATTTTGCTTAAAAAACGACATGATCTTCTAATTTCTGGAAAGAATTTTGGCGCAATATGATTAAAAAAATTGGCAATTAATAGTGATATCAAAATTTTTTGACATTGAAATTAATTTTAATTACAGATTTAAGTATGGACCAATAGGAAAATTCGATAATTTCTAAAAACTTTTTTTAATTTCATGCTGAAAGAGTTCTTAAATCTGCTAAATTCTGTTTTAATTGAATGAAAACAATGCTAGAATAAATGGAATTAGTTTAAAAATAAATATGTTTTGAACTTAATTGACTATTTTGTTTGCATTTCCCCTGATCTGCATACATTCTGTTGGGGATATTTAACAATATATGCAAAAAAGAAAGTTTATAAAATTCACTTTGAAGTAATCATTTATCGTTAAAATTAAAAAAATTGCAGTTAGTAGTGATTTCAATTCTTTTTTGGCATTGAAATTGAGTTTAATTACAGATCTAAACAAATTTACAGATTTAAACAAACATGGATCAATAGAAAAATTCGATAATTTCTAAGAGTTTTTGTTAATTTCATGCTGAAACAATTTTTAAATACGCTAGATTCTATTTTAATTAAACGAAAACAATGTTGGAAGAAACTTAATTAGTTTAAAAATAAATATATTTTGAACTTAATTGACAATTTTATTTGCACAATCATGACGGTAATTCATTTTTGCAAATACAAATAAATTTTATCTCAAATTTAAGTATTGATTTTTATTAAAATCTCACAATTCGTAAAAGTTTTTTTTATATTAAACTAGGAAATGAATCCTAGTATTTTCAAATTTCATTTTAATTAAGTGCTAAAACTACTAAAAAAATATCAGTCGTTACAAAAATAAATATTTTTAAATTAATCGATTATTTCGCATGTTTCGCAATCGATTATTATTTCGCAATCGATTATTTCGCATGATTATTTCAAATTAATCGATTATTTCGTCATATACGGTGTAACCATTTGACAATTTAAATATGGTCAACCTTAATAATTAAGTTTTGAACAATATTCCAGTAGCGAAATTAATAAAATTTTTAATTTGTTATGGTTCCAATTCATTTTTACGATCAAAATTAATTTTTATTTCAAATTTAAATATTAATTTTTCTGAGAATCATACAATTTGTGAAATTTTTTTAGATTAAACTAGAAAATAAATTGTAGTACTACTAAATTTCATTTCAATTAAATGCAAAAACTATTAAAAAAATAGCGATTCGTATATATTTTCAAATTAATTGATTATTTTATATGCATTGCACGGGAATTAGTCATATACGGTATGAAACAGCTTAGGCTTAGGCTTAGGGTAAACTTAGGCTTAGGCTTAGGGTTAAACTTAGGCTTAGGCTTAGGCTTAAGCTTTATTTTAAATTTAAAAGTTGATTTTTGTGAAAATCCTATAAATTGTAAGAGTTTTTATATATCAGACTGGGAGCAAATGAAATTATCACACTATATTCAAATGCATATACTAATATTTTTTATCAGTGTATTAATTTTTGTAATATTTGTTTTTGTAATAATATTTGTTAGTAATTAATTATTAATTCATATGTTATAATTTCATTTGCTTATAAAGTTAATGTTCATATTTACACGTAAAGTAACCTTTCACTTCTAATGTAAGTTACGTGTCCAAAATTACAGTACAAACATGGAGTATACTTCATTTTGAATGGTTGCAAATTCTACTGCTACAATAATGTCACATATCGAGAATATATTTACACCTTTTGTAGACGTAGTATTGTATTGTGAATGCTATTGTAAGTTTTGTCATGCGTGAACAGACACGTATTTTTACACGTTTATAGTAAAGATATGAATTGAATAAGAATTGCTATATATACTGTACATCATGCATAATGGTTAATTCACGTTGCAATGAGACACTCAACGACGTAAATTAGATCGGTTGATATTTCACAGTTGACCGATTACTTTTGTTGTGTCCACCTAATTGGTCACTAGTAACAGTGTAGTGATTTATAAACTTATCAGTTTTTGTCAGAGTATCACTGAAATTAGAATTAAGAATAGGCTGAACTTTGAACTATGTTTAAACATTGATAATGAGTTTTTTCTTGCTATGCGTGTTATGTTACGTCTATTCATTTATTATTATTATCATTTTTGGTGTATAATCACAACATTTGCATAATTTGAAACATAATTTAATTTCAGACAACAAAATTATAGTACTAAAAGAAAAAGAACGATAGAAGTATAATGGTATCAGTGGGAAGTATACAAGCAGAGATGAATATTGATAGAGTGAAAACGAGAACTGTTGAGCAATTGATTGCACCATTAATACAACAAGTAATTTTTCTTTTTTTTTTTCTTTTTATAATTAAATTTATAATTTATATTAATGGATGATGCATGTATATATTGATTCAAGATCGAATTTTTCGATTATATTTGAATTAGTTTAATTAATCATAGCAGTGGCTGCTAAATTCCACCATATTTGACTTTTTTGGTGATTTTTTCTATCGTTGAAATTATTCGATCTTTTAGCTTATTATAGATATGCTACATCTAGGGATATCTTTAAATTTTGTTGGAAAGATGATAAATTATAGGTGTGATATATCACATTTACAAAATGTATAATGCAGAACTGAAATATCTTAGTAATGATTAATCACTTTTTGCAGGTGACAAGTTTAACGAGTCCAAATGATATGCATTCATTGAAACGTAGTGGAAAGAGCGGGGTTGTATTGGTGGCTGCTATTGAACGAACTGTACGTAATTTTGTGGAAATAGGACGTTCAGCTATTGCTGAATGTCCAGTTGCTGTTGGGAATGCTTTAGAGCAATTGAACGAGACTTTACACGATGTAGAACTTGCTGGTAAGTGTAACAATTACCTTTGATTTATTAAAAGTTTTTGAAATAATAGATAAAGTAGTAAGATTACAAAAAATTATGTAGGAAATTTAAGAGATAAAAGATTTCAAACGCTCATAAAGCTTTAAAAAATTCCTTTTGCATTATGCTATCAAATTTTCGTGTGTTTTAATGAAGGGGAAGACACCTTGATGAATACTCTCCTGATTTTATCGTAATTTGTCAAAAAAAAAAAAAGAAGATACAACTAAAACTCTTCCAGGATGTACATCTTAACATTTCGAAATTAAACATGAAAGATGTTAAATTAAGATTTTCTTTTTTTGAGCTTAATTTGTGAGAAAATCAGCATCTGACCTAGTTACTCTTATCGATTAACTTAATTAATTGTTAATTATTCAACATCGATTGAACTAATCATTAAATTCTAAAGTAATATATACGATCAAATTTTACTTTTTTCTATCTAGGTGTCGAAATGGTCAATACTGGGCATAATTTTGTGGAAGAGACGAGTAATACCGATCGGCGTGCACATGCAATAAGAGCAGCTCGAAATCTATTAAATGTAGTAGCACGAATGCTTATTATGGCTGATATGGTAGATGTACGCGTAATGCTTCTTCAAATTGCTAAGGTGTGAATTTGATTTATCAGTTTATTTAGTAAATTAAAGTTTTCCCATATAAAATTGACACTTCCATCTCCAGCTCCTGATGGTTTTCAGTTTTTCTGTCTCGGTGATCCCTTTTTTTTATATTCTAGCAAACAAAGAGAATATGACAACATGTTAACATACTAGACTATAGAAAAATAAAAATATATGGAATTAATAAGTTTCACTCATTAAAAAATTTTTGAATACTGACATTATACAGAGGTTCATTTCTGAATCTAACAAATATAGTAAATAAGAACTTTCATAGACAAAAATTAATTACTGCATTTGTAAGTATGTGAATTAGGAATGGATTCTGTTGTTTGGCTTATGAACTTTTATTTTTGTTATAGAATATTCTTTAAATCAACTTTCAGGCTCAAGAAATAATGGATCTTATGGTTGCAGCTGAATCAAAACAGGAGCTATCAGAATTATTTGAATCTTTAAATTCTTGTTTGGAGCAATTAGATGAAAGCGTTAGAAGACGTATCTTAGAGCTACGAAATCCAGCTGAGCAAGATGATTTACAAGCAGCTCGAGCATGGCTTAAACTGAATAGTATAATCATGTATACTTCCTCCACGGTAATTAATACTTTGATAATTTTAGTTTTAGCTGATGATACAGATCATTTGTATCTTAAAATTAGACAATGACAGTTTGTGATTATCGTGAAGATCACACATCTCAACGTAAGAGCAAAATTAAAGAATTTGTTACAAAAAATTGGATTTTGTTAGCTAAATTACTTATTTTCTTAGTTAATTTTAATATATATTATTATAACATGTTAGCTATTTTCAGGCATATATACGCCATCCGGAAGTGGATGAGGTGCGCATAAATCGTGATTTTGCTCACGCGGAAATGTCATTAGCCTTACAAGCTATAGCTGATATTTTGCAAGGTTGTGCAACTAACAGAAATATCTGTCTTTCTCATTATGGCTGTGTTGGTGATCTTATGCGACAACTTGATCATTTTCAGGTTCATTTTGTATAGAAAATTGTTATAATCAAGTGAGGTTCCATGTTTATTACTAAAGTTATTTTGATTTTGTATTTTTTTTTAAAATAATTTTCCAGGCTCGAGCATATATGGAACCAAGCTCGTATAAGGATCATTTGCATCGACCAGAGCTTGAGGGTCTCTTAGAAAAGATCGTTAGCGGTGTAGCCGCTATTGCAGATTCAGAAAACACAAGAGATGAAAGGAAAAAAAGAATTGTTGATGAATGCAATAATTTGCGACAAGCATTGCAGGATTTGCTCGCTGAATATGAGAAAAATGTTTACGCTTAGCTTAATTCTTCAATTATAATACTTCTATTGCATATATATGTATATATATTTATTTAACAAAGAATTATTTATTTATTTAATAAAGAAAAAGGGAATAAAAAATGAATTGAAAAACATTGACATTTCTTCAGTGTGGACGTACCGAGCCTTCAGAAGATTTGGACTTAGCGATGGTTCATTTGGGACATAAAGCGAAGGATTTGCGTCGACATTTGCGACGTGCTATCGTGGATCATGTAAGCGATGCTTTCCTGGATACTATTACTCCGCTAATGGTGCTTATTGAAAGTGCTCAAAGACATGATGAAAGAGCCACAGTTGAGAACGGAAAAATCTTTCAGGAGCATGCGAATAAGCTTTTGCAGGTATGTTTTACTATTTGAACTTAGTATTTTTGATTGAGGTATTTCTCTTATAATAGTTAATAAGTCATTTAATTTATTAAACTTGATACCAACCTTTTTTTTTTAATTAAATGTTGCAACTTCCTCTTTGCATATTTCTAGTATAGTAAGATATTAAATATGCTTACAGTTTGGTAACGTTTTATTGGTATTAGTATAAGTGACTGCCAGGTTTTCTTTGAATAGGTAATTCGTATATTTTAGGCAGCAGAACTGGTATGCGTGATGAGTAGCAATGAAGATGGTATTCGTGTTATTCGATATGCGGCCGTAATTATTGATAAACTTGCACCACAGGTAGTATTGCCCTTTTTATTACACTTCTTATTATCAATTTTTAAATCTAGTACGCAACAATTTATTAGTGTTTCTGGAACATTTATTTATGAGAAGTAGAATTTATCTGACATGCAGTTACAAAATGGGTACACTTTACTATGATTTTCTTTCTTTGCTGCTAAGTTTACTGATATATTTCATATAATTTGTTTTATTTATTTATCTACTTATTGTTTGTTTATTTAATCAGTTAATTGATTTATCTATTTATTTATTCAGTCAGCTAATTTATTCATTTATTTGATTCATTAATTAATTTAATTTATATGACTTGTTTACTTATTTATCTTATTTGTTTCTTTAATTTTATTCATTAATTTAACTTTATTAATTTTTTTTTAATTATTTATTTATTTACTTATTGATCATTATGAGTGAGTTTTAATTATTCAAAGTGGTGATTATTCCACTTTTTCTGAATTGTGAGCCGAAAGGAATTTGGTTATTTGTTCTGAATATTCGTCATATTGTGATGGAAAAGTTTTAATTATATTTTTATATAGCAATAGGCAATGTTCTTTTTTTGCAGGTAGTTAACGCCGCATATTTGCTAAGTGTAAGAGATAGTCAAGTGGCAAGAAATAATATGGACACTTTTAAAAATGCTTGGATTGAGAAGGTAAATGTTGCACTATTCTTCCTACAATTTTTCCTTCTATTATTTTGTGATATGTGTTTACTGTTATGATAGTAAAACTGAAATTATTTGTTTAGGTGAAACTGTTAACGATGGCCGTCGATGCTATGATAACAGTAGATGACTTTCTGGCTGTTAGTGAGGCACATATTATTGAGGATGTTAAAAGCGGCATTCAGGTATTTTTTTTTTTTGAAATTGTTGATAAGCTTGATTAATGATAATGTGATGAAGAAGTGGATGTAACAATTAATCTGATATAAATTACAGGCTGTGATTAATGGAGATGGTTACCTACTTGATCGATCCGCAGGTGGCATTCGTGGCCGTTCTTTGCGTGTTTGCAATGTGGTTGATTCTGAAATGGATTTGGTAGCGGCTAGTTCGTACAGAGATCGTGTTCGAATGGCAACTAAATTACTCAGAGATGATGGTAAATTTTAAAGTTAAAGCGAGTCGCATATGATAAATTTTGTTTGACGTGTTTATGACGATGTGAGAGATATTATGAGTAAATAATAGTAGTAATATCACTTTCGTTATTACTATTATCAGTGATAATAATAAATGGAATAATAGTAATATAAATGCATGTTTATTCAGTGATTGATCGTTTTGCTGATCGAGCGGAAAAAGTGGTAAATAAATTGGAGAAGGAAGCAGTAGAAGGTATTAGTTGTGATAACAGAGATTATACCAATGATGTGGATGAATTCATTGAAGCTAGTGAATTAGTTCACAATGCGGTGAAAGAAATACGGAATGCATTATTGATGAATCGAAATCCGGAAGATGTTGATTCAGACAACGAATATGAGGAAGGTATGAGACTTGACACTATATAAAGTAAGCGAACAACAACTCTGTCTTTTTTTATCGTTTACTTGTTATAGATGCTGGAACAAACTATCCGGATTCAAGAAGTCAAACAGTTGATGTTGAAAATGAACAAAAAATAATGCGACGATTACCAGAGGAAGAAAAACGAAAAATTCAGGAACAAATTGATGTTTTCAAGGTTTGAGTTTTTATTCATATTTACTTTAAGTTACATTAAATAATGCTGAGACGAGCTTCAGATAATGAATTTTTGCTTATTTTCAAATCCTTCAAATATTGAAAGTATAATAAGACGTAGTTTAGATAGCACAAAGCAAATTTGAAAGAGAAGTGGCAAAATGGGATGAAACTGGAAATGACATTATCGTGCTTGCAAAACATATGTGTATGATTATGATGAATATGACTGATTTTACCAGGTTTGTTCTTTTAGGAATAGAAAATTTTTTTTTCCCTAAAACATGTTTTGCTTGCGAATTATTTCAGTTAAATTTAAATGATACATATGATTAGTTCAGAAAATGTTTAAGATAATAAAAAGAAAAAAAAGTGAAATAATATTGCGCATATAATTAGCTCCAAAGATCAGAATAAATTAGGAATGGTAGCTTCTTTTTTTTTAATTTGAGATAATATGATTTACAGAGGTCGTGGACCTTTAAAGACTACAATGGATGTTATCAAAGCTGCACAAGAAATTTCTGATGCGGGTGCAAAACTGAATTCTTTGGCTAAACAAATTGGCAGTGAAAGTGTAGAAAGTGAAACAAAAAAGGATCTTTTTGCTTATCTACAAAGAATAACTTTATATTGTCAACAGTTAAATATAACAAGCAGAGTATGTCTTACTCATTAAATTACTACTAAAGTTGCAAATGATATTGTAGTTTGATGCTGTAATAAATATTGTATTGCGAGATTATAGTGTAAAATTTATCCTTTAACTTGAACTTAACGATAAATGAGTTGAAAAATTCAGTCCAAAAAAACTTATAGAAAAGTTTTACAGGTAAAGGCAGATGTGCAACAAGTTGGTAACGAATTGATAGTTAGTGGTCTTGAATCAGCAATGTCTCTAATTCAAACTGCCAGAAATCTATTGAATGCTGTTGTGTTGACGGTCAAAGCTGCATATATTGCTAGTACCAAGGTATTTTCTTTATACAGTTTTTTTTCTCAATGGGCACTGTTTAATTAGATTAGACTTCAAAAAATGGACTCTAGTTAATTGTATATTTTTCTGTTTTAATTAGATTAGATTAGATTATGAAGCCAAATTGTTGGAGGAAATTTGAATAAAATATGTCATTTTATGGTTTTAATAACAAAAAAAAAATAATTAGATCTACAAAAGGATGGTCATGCTGTGTAAGATGGTCCTCTAGTTCCAATGTTTTTTTTTTTTTTTTTTTTTTTTTTTTTTTTTTTTTTTCTTTTTTTTTTTTTTTTTTTTTTTTTTTTTTTTTTTTGCAGAGTGTTGTTTTGCTGGATTTTAATAAATAGAATAATATCTTCTGAATCCGTTTTTGGTCCTATTAAAATTATTTTTTTTTTTTTTTTTTTTTGTCCTGTTTAACAACTATTTATGCATCATTTTGCTGATAAGATGTTTTCATATACTTTAACTTATTACTGCTAGATTTAGGTTTGCTATAGTTAATATCTTCAGTTTATGTTTGATTTTAATTTATCAAAATATGTGATAGAAAGCTTTAGTGCATGTTTAAGAAATGAATTTTGGCATTCATGATTTACTTAGTATGAGAAAAAAAAATGCCAGAAACAAGTGATTTCGTGATTCCGTGATTGCCGTAAAGTGATTGCGTGTAACTGCACCATATTTAAAGTATCCGAACCGGTAAACGATATAGCTTTGTATGCCATGAATAGTTAATAGTGATTAGAAATTAGTTTTGCTCTCGAAAAATGTTCTGCAAATTACGAATGTAAAATAATAACATTTGCAGTGCTATAAGTGATAAAAGTTGAACAATTTAAATGAGAAAAATTGGAAAATATAAATGTATAACATATGATTGTAAATTAAATTAACTTTTTCCAGAAACTTTGGAGTGAAATTCAATTTTCTTGATAGACTGCTAAAAAAAGAATGAGAATAAATGTTTACTATATATCATTTCGGGTGGTGCAACAAGTTGAGAATATAATATAGCCGAAACATATCTTTTGCTAATCTAAAATTTGCTAATTTTCTTATGAATAGCTTTAAAATGCAGTTTGGGAAAAAAAAATAGTGATACTTAATAGTTTAGTATTTTTTTTGATGTATTGTATGAAAGTGAAAAGCAATTAAATAATGTATGAGAAGAGAAAACTATTGAAAATTATGCTGACAGAGAAGAAAAGGTCTGAATATTTATGCTTAGCAAAATCAAGTGATATTTTTACGTACGTTTTAACAGTTTATGAAAATATCATTTATTAAGGAATATATTAGTATTTGCTAGTTTACAACATTTTATATACTTTTGTATTATTTTTATGAAATTACTATTTCACTTTTACTTTTTCTTTATCATATCATCAATTTGTTGTTATCATTTATTTGTAATATTATGAAATATAAACATTTAATCATAGTAAAGGAATTTTATGAGTTTTTAAATTTTAGTATCGACGCAAGAATACGGCAGCACCATCATTAGTTGAATGGAAAATGGCACCACCGCAAAAACAACCACTTGTTAGAGTTTATAATAAATCTCATGGAATTGTACGTAGAGCTTCGGAGAAACGTCCGATGCCACCAATGAAAGCATTAGCACAATTTCGAACGACTAATACTAATGATTAAAATTACCATAGTTTATCTCTTTTTTTTTTTATGCACAATCATTGTATATATTATTTTATTAATTGTTAAATTTATAATTCAAGCATTTATTGATAATGCTCATTTCATTTATGATCATGATTTATCCATCTTGCCATATTTCCACCCTTTCTATGATTACTATGCATTGAAGTATTAAAAGATTATTGCTCAAGGGAAAATTTTTTCTATCTTTCGAACATTTTCTAGAAACAACCGACAAAGATATTTTAAAATGAAAAAAAAAAAAAAAAGAGGTAAAAATTATAAATGAATGAATTTAATTGATCAAAAAATATCAGTATTTTTCGTTTTCCTTTAACACTTCAAAAGAAAATTGTATTTTATTTCATCTTTGATTTTATCACAGTTTTATGTAATGATTATTGTGTTAATTGTTTATGATTGATCCATTTTTGAGAAGAAGAAGAAGAAAACAATCATATATTGTTATAGTGAAATTATAAATTATTTGATATATTGTTTAAATTATTGATAGTCAAATTAAAATTACTATCGTATTTATCATATCAGAGCTTTTTGAAATAAAATTTGCGTATTTTATAAAAATTTAGCTTACATGGGAAACTTTTTTCTTTTTTTTTTTTTATTATACTTTATCACTTTATATTTTAATTGGGGAATTGTAAATAAGTCATACTAATGATTATAGTATAAGTGTAAGATAATTATACTTAAAAAAAAAAAAAAAAAAAACAACTAACTTTTATTTGTTACTTTCATGCTCATTATTATTATTATTATTATTATTTTCTTGATGCCACATTATTGTATCATTAATTTTACATTTTGAATTAAAAATTAGAAGAAAATAAGCCCGCTGTTTGTTACTAAATTTTATGGAAAAGGAATCGATTGTCTTGATTGCTTCCAAATTGTATCATAACCATTCCTCTGGAATTGTTTTTCTCGTTGTTGCTGTTGCAAAAACATTTCAATTTTTTCACCCAATGCACCTAAAGTAAAATAATACATATTTATTACTTAAAATAACATATTTAAAAAAAAAAAAAATCTTCGTTTTTTAGGAAATAATTTACAGTATAACATTTCTATCATAAATAACTTACCATTTTGAATACTATTCCATATTGGACGTAAGTCATTTACGTTTATTTGTGAAGTGATTTTTTGAAGTGCATTTCGAATGTTCCATAATAATTCTCCATTATTTTCCTATTTTAAAAAATAAATAAATAAATAAAAAGTTTTTCCATTTATTCATACACTTTTCTTTTTTGTTCATCATTTGTAACAAATTTTAAAATTACCAATAATTGAGTGGCGCTATTTTGATCAGATGTTGCTATTTGTCGATGTTGTGGTATCACTGTACGATCTATTGTTTGATATGGATTCCAATTACTACTATCATAATTTGTTAAAATTCCAGAATTGGAAGAAACTGATGTTGATAAATACCATGGTATTTTACCTCATAAAATTATTATAATTGAATTATAATATGATAGTCACTAAATATTATGATTTTTTGGTATTATCTTTTGAAAAAAACTTTTTCTTTATCATCTGGTATCTTATCATCTTTTGGAAAATGATAATACATACATTAGTGATATCAATAATCACTGCTGAAGATATTATTTTAAGTATTTTTGATATATATCATCTTTTAAAAAATGAATAATGCATACGTCAATGATCATATTTAATAATATTAATAATTGATGTTTAAAGAATTTTTAATAATTATTTATAGTAATGCTTTGATTATTAATTCAAATTAATTTTTATACTGAATTTTATGTCATGCACAAGAAATTTTTTTTACCACTTCTCCTTAGATGGCCAAATTCGGTGGCGCAAACTGCAAATGCAAGTGTATACCATAACATCAACCATTGTAAGAACATCCTGGAACCATAACTGTAAATGCTATAAAATGATTCAAATTTCTATAATAGCTAATCTCAATTATTGATTATTATATTATTATTATTATTATTTTAAAATAATAATGATAAAATATAATCAAAGGAAAAAATAGGACATTATTCAAATTAAAAATTTTTTTAAGCATTTTTTTTAAAACATTAAAAATACATTTTTCATTATTAATTACAATATTAAATTTGAAATTTTTATATTTTTTTTTTTTTATATAAAAACTTTCTTTTCGTATTTTAAAAAAAAAAAATTTAAGACCAAAACTATACTTTTAATTACTAATTTATTTTGATTATTTTTTTTTTTAAATCATTTATAATATGTAAATATAATTGAGGAAGAATAAATGATAATAATGTAAAGTAATTAGATTGAAATAAATTAATCTATTTCTAACAATTTTACACATTATTACTACTATTACAACGATATAACTATGATTACTAATAACAATAAACGAGGAAATAGCAATCATTGAGGAAATGAATGAATAAAATGTCAGAATGATCGACCATTTCAATTCATTTCAATATTATCCTTTCGTGATGTTTAATTACTTTACAATGTATCGTTGTATCTTTGTTTGTAAACATTACCCATTATTTATTAGTAAGAATAGAGATTGTCTCTTAAGTACACACATACAGGTATATACACATATATGTACATACCGATACACACTGACACGCACACACACGTACGTACGTACACACATTGACAAACACACACACACACATATGCGGTTAGCTAGATATAATTGATTCTTAATTTAGTATTTAGTAATAGGGGATAGCAACTATTAAAATAATAATTATTATTATGATGATGTTAGTAATCGTAATGATAATGGTGATGGTGTTGATAATAACGATGGTAATGATAGTGATGATAGGATGGTGATAATGATGATGACAGTAATGATGATAATAATAATGATGACGATGATGTTGATGATGGTGATGATAATGATAGTAATGATGATGATGATGACGATGATAATGATAGTAACGATGATGACGATGATAATGATAGTAACGATGATGATGATGATGATGAAAATGTATCGTGCAATACTTTTTAAGATTTGCCTCATCTTTGTGTACTTATATCATTATTTCTTGTTCCTCGTCTCATATCTTCTTCGTTAGTTGACAAACTGGTGACAAATTATGTTTGTATAACAGTATGCAGGTAATAGCATACGGGTAATATGCATTACATATATAAATACCAAATATCACACATACATTTGTTTTCATAAATTAATATAAAATTTAAAATAATTATTTAAAAAAGAAGGAACAAAATTTTTACATATCTTAAATGTAAATAAAATAACAAAAATTGATAAATGATTGGAAAGATGTATAAGAAGTTAAAAAAGATTTTAACAAACAAGAAAAAAAATTGAATTTGTCAATGATTTGCTTTTTTTTTTTTTTTTTTTTTTGCTTTCTCTTTTTTAAATATGTTACAGTATATTACAATTTAAATTTGAATTATTATTTCGTGAAATTTAATCATTGTAACTAATCGAACTGAGAAAAAATTATGGGAAAATTTCAGTTTTTCGAGTTTTTTATTTTTCTGATGAAAATTTTGCTTTTGTTTCGTCCATTCTTTGTGATACTATTTTATCATCCTTTTTTTTTTTCCTCGTGACTTCTCTCCATTTGGTTAATTTTAATTTTACTGTTAAAAGATTTATTAAAATTTTTTGTTTTCTTTTTTTCCTTTTTTTCTTGTTTCGTAAAAAAAAAAATCCAAAAACTTGAAGTTTAATGAGAAAAAAGAAAGATATTTTAAAGATTGAACATTTTTTATAAAAAAATATAAATGTATGTACCGCATGTATATTGTGTGTTATTTTCTCTCATTACTTTTATAATATTTAAATTTGTTTTTTAATTATCATATTAATTGCATACTTTTTGAGCAAATAAACAAGTTGTGCAAGTTTTCGCTTTTCATTTTTTCTTTTCTTTTCTTCTATTTTTCTCATGAGATAAAAATTTTTATTTAAAAAACATTTCACGGAAAAATACATTCTTTTTTTTTTTTTTTTTTCAATAAAAATTCATTTTCCTTCATCAATTAACAGTTTTTTCTTTTTTGTTTTTTTTTTTTTGCTTATTTATTCCTTCGAAATTTGAAAAAAAAATTCGAAAAAAAAAAATTAAATTTGAAAGAAATTCAATTTAGGAAACAAAATTATTTGTCAGTGAAAGTAATTATTATCATTTATTTTTGAATAATATTATCATTTTATTGTTGTTAAAAAGTCCTTTTATAGATTTTTTTTTCATGAATTCTAATCTTTTTATAGATTTCTTTTTTTTTTTTAGCAGTTTTTTAAAATACATTTTAATTTTTTTGTAGAATTTTTTGTGAATTTTAATCATTTTATATATTACAGAATTTTTTACAAATTTTTTAAATCTTATTTATTAAAATTGCGTTTCCAACATGTAAATATGTCATACTTTATGAAGGTGTAATATAATCAAAAATGTCAAATAAATTCAAAATAAACTTATGATATTAATGAAATTTAATTTTATGAGTTTATTAAACAAACAATCATATTTTAATTAAATGTATTGTATAAATAACAAAAATTGATATTAGCTGTATGATTTTCAGTAATTTCTTTTTATTAATATGTGAAATTAATTTTTTACTGATTGTATTTGATTGTTTTATTAAACTGAATAAAAATAAATTAAAATAAAAATAGATTTGGTTTTTTTTTTTTTCTTTTTTCTTTTGCTTTTGTTTGCATCAGATTTTGCAACATCTGCATGCATATTTAGCATGCAGAATTTTTTTTTTTTAATAATTAAATAGAAATTTAAAAATTGAACTTTTCCTCACTTTTTTTTTTTTTTTTTTTTTTGTTTACAATCAAAAAAATTTTTCATCGTTTTAAAATGCAAAACAATTTCTTTCTCATTTGTTTTTTTTTATAAAATATGAATAAATATTCATATAAATAGTATTTTTTTTTTGCAGTAAAGGAAAAAAAAAAAAACAAAAATGAAAATTATATTACATCTTTTTTTTTATTTTTTTTTTTTGAGGGGAAAAATATAAATTTATATTTTTTATTTTATCTTAACAAAATAAGATAAAATAAAAGTATATTCATACATTTTTCATTCGCATCATTTCATATTATAGAATTGAAAAAAAAGAAAACGAATACTTTTATCACACTTCAATAATGTTTTCAGAAAAAAAAAAAAGAAAAATGAAATAAAATAATTCTTTTAATTTCCTTTTCCTTACTTTTTCTTTTGCTCTTTTTTTTTTTCACATTTTTACTAATTCTCTGTCTTTTTTTTTCTTCTCCATTATTTTTATTTTAACAAAAAAGAAAAAAACTTTTAAAATGAATCAGTGAAAAATAATCTGTTAAAAAAGTGGAAAAAAGGAAAAATTAAAATTTTCATATTTAATACAAAATAAAGTTTTATTTGCAAAATAAGTAAAAAAAAAAAAAAAAAAAAAAGCAAAAACAAAAATCAAAGTAGTACTTTCGTTTCTTTTTTTTCTTTTTTATTTCCTTTTGCTATATGAATTAAACAGTTTTTAAAAAGTTTCATCTTTCAATTTATTATTTCCTTTTTTTTTTTTTTTTTTTAATGATAAAATAAAAATTTTTTTCAACTTTTTGTCTTTCTTTTTCATTTTCAAATAATTTGATAAAATTTTTATGCATATCATTTGATAGATTTTAAACTTATATAAGAAGCATAAGTTATTCCATATAAAATTCTTGCAAATTTTTTTTTTTTTTAATTTCTAATTCATTTTAAATAAATTTAGTTGAAATTATTAAAATGTATTTGAAGCAATTAAAATGTACTTTTAATTTTTTTTACTAAATCTTTATCAAATTATTAATTTTTACAACTGTATGAATTTTTAATTTTTTTTTAAATTAAATCCGTCCTATATTTGTTTATAATTAATTTATTACCTTACATGAATTTTAAATATTAGTAATTGCACCCTCTTTTTTTTATTGTAAAAGTTAAGATTTGTTGATAATTTGATTTTTTTTTTTTTTTTTTTTTTTGTTGTTCAGTAATTTTTATTAGCAATTTTTTTTTTGTATGTTTGCAATTTCCTTTTTCGTTTAATATTGACAATTTCTTAAATTTTTCATTTTTTAAAAAATAAAAAGAAAAAAGGAAAAAAAAATTGAATTTTCGCAATAAAATTAAAAATTGTATTTAAAATAGAAATTTCAAAAAATAAAAAAAAATAAAAATAACTGTAATAATAATTATTTTTTATTTTTGTATGTTTAAAGTAAATAAAATGTTTTTATTTTTGTATGTTTAAAGTAAATGCATTTTTAATCATTTAACAAAATAATATGAGAGAAAGAATGATACAGAGAGAGAGAGAGGGAGAGAGAGAGAGAGAGGGAGAAGGAGAGAGAAGTGAAAGTAAAATTTATCAGTTTGATTATTATTTATCGTTCCTTGTCAATTTGTGTTCACTAAGTGACAATTAGTGTGATGTATTAGATCTGTAATTTAATTAGCATTTTCAAAGAAATAAAAAAGAAAAATTTCTAAATTTTTTATTTCAATATGTAACATTAATTTAATGTTTATTTCTTTCACTTAATTTGATTAATTAATTAATTAGTTAAGTATATCTCATATTTGATATAAAATAATTTCATTTCTATATTCCATTTAAAGTATACATTAATTCAATATTATTGTAGCTGCTAAATTAATTAGTTTATAATAACTGATTTCATTTTATTATTAAATCTGTTCAAAAATAATTGATACATATAAAATTTCATATATTTTATAATAAAATATACTTTTAAAAGAAATTTTAACAAAATAGTAAAAAAGCAAAAAAAAAAAAAAAAAAAAGAAACTATTATCGCATTTTTTCTTTATTTTTACACCTTAAATTATTATAGAAAATAAATTCG